TTGTCTTCTCATAAAATATCATGCCACAACTCCCTACTATTACCACCCAATTCCCGCGGGAAAAAACAGCTTTGTGTATTTTTCACATCTCTCAGTTTGCTTGCCTAAGTAGTCGTGCTAACTTAACCCAGTCCCTCTCCGTTGTGACCAAAGTCGAGTAAACAGTGAAAATAACTTACTCTCAACATCAGTGCACTCTGAACATCCTAAGACTCCCTACAGACAAAGAAATAGGTGTTTTCTCGTTTATTTTGTGAAAAAGTGTGCACAATATGTGTATGTGTACTTTTAAATATACAACTATCCTGCGAGCAGTAACCGGCATTTCTTAGCTCGCGGGAAATCACGAGGAGACCCTGAACTACACACACCGACAAGAACACCGGCAAACTTCTCTCCGACCTGTTTCAAATCTTTCCGTGGGCGGAGAAACATGCATCATTCAGCGCTGATCGATAATTAGGGGCCGATCGAGAGCTAACATACAACAGTTACAAACTACCACAGTGAGCATGTGCTACACCGTCAACTGCACTTGTGTACGTAACAAGATTTTCCTTTCCGTTTGGTCAATGACTATGTTCGTGTTTAGTACTATTTTCTGCGTTGCACCTTTTCGAAGGTGAGGGAAATTCAAGCCGTTGATTTCTTTTCTTCCTGTTTATCCTTCAAACCCTGGAGGGGATCAATACTTAAATTCTTCTTACGGTTTTATAAGTATCTGAGAAGGCGGCTGCGCTCCCGTATGGTCGACTAGTGTGATTAGATGAAAGCACGTAGACACGGCTGTTATGTAATAAATTACTGTGTAAGCACATGTTTTAGTTTTCTTAAGTCACCTTTTTCCTAATTGATCTACTTAAAACTGCCATACCAACATGAAGAAATACTGACCGAATGGATGGAACATGCCAACCATAAAAACAACAGCAGCAGCAAATGAAGTTTATGGATCATCTCCCCGTCGGCAGAAGAGCAGACTACAATACAACTGGCTTCTATTTGCTTTCAGCCCTACGCGATAAAAAGAGGAAAAGTGCAACAGTCTAAGAAATGAGTCAAAGGACTGCAGTGCATGGGGTGATTCTCAGGTCAAAATCTCCGAAAACATGCAGTTTCTTTTAAGGAGACAGGGCCTTTTAAAAAGGTATCTGGGACTTGAGAAGCGTAACAGCCAGAGGTGATATCGTGAGAACGTTATTGAACGCGTAGAAGGGGTCATTAGATATCTCAATTGACATTTTCCTTAATAGATTATGTATGAACTCAAGGGTTCACTCTATTGTTATAAATCTATTTCGTCTTTGTTGACGAGTACAAACCACAATGCTTGTGCCAAATAGCAAATTGTTAACCCTCCGTCTGTTTCTTATAAATCAGAAACCATTGGAAAAAATACGCAAAACACTTCTCGGCTCGGCTACTTATCGTAAAAGTGTGCTAATGATGAATGTCTCGCTTGAAAGGAAACATGAACAAACTGTTGATTAAAAAATTGTAGACCTCATTCGCAACATTAAACATACAATAATATTCATAAGTGGGTCTTAGGAATTATTCTAGCCACTGAGAACGATGACATAATCGATCTTAAAACATTGCTTTGGACTTGAATTTTTAAATAGTGACTGCAGGGGAGCGCTAAGAAATAAACTTAGGGCTGTGCAAAGTTTCCTCAGTCTTGAAATAAATTTTCTGTGTTCGGGGGCTACATCGATTTAAGAAAGTTAATTACTTGGTGTAAAGTATGCTATATACATACCAGCAAAAAAAAAACGCGTCTGAGTAAAAAATCAGATACCTACTTTAGCCTGACTATGATAGACAGTTGTACGAACACAATTTCTTGCAAGAAAGATGTGTCGCCTACCTAGTAACGAAGAAATATTATTCCTGACTCTAAGGTTAAACAAATTCGTCTCAGCGCATATGCAGAATCCTGCAAGTAATGCAAAATAATAATTTTAAAAAAAACAGGACGTGTCAAGTTATGTAGTGTTGGTTCTGTGATTCGATTGGTTAAAAGCTTGTGACTGATGGCGAAATTTTACCACACTCTGTGATCTTATTGGCTGGGACTGTTTAGATTGACATAAGGCTTAGAGCTGGGTGCGTCAAACAGTTGCCCATTGAAGTCAAATTAAGATTTCCCGAATATTCTCTGTTTAACTTGATAAGCTCCGCTAACCGGAAATGGCCTGAGGAATGAAAGCACCCACGTAAAACGGGAAAGTGTCCTGGGTAATTGAAGCGTTGACCCCTCCACTTAGAACAATGGCTTTCGTAATCGAAACTGAAAAAATAATGATTACAACTGAAGCATTTCGTCAACACTTCAGAAGTAAACTCCCCTAACTGTGGGGCTTCATCGAAGCCCTGTTGCAGCATATCCTACGCCGTCAATCTAGCTGTTAGACAGAACGTTTGCTCGCTAACTGTTAATGTTTCCACGGGTAGAAATAAAGCGGTGGAAAGTATTAAACTGGACTGTGCAAGATGGAGCTTAAGGAAAGTTACTTTTGGGGAGAGCAGTTAGTGAACAGAGTGATATAGTTTTTTTTGTTTATCCTATGGATTTTTCACGTGTCAACTTATCAACTGCTTTGTATTTTGATTTTCTCCAACTTAACTTAAAAAAATGCTGTGACTTATTTTTCACGTTTGGTTTCCTCTGAAAGGTTTTTGTAACCTTCTTTTATATAGGCTTGATGAACAATTGGTTGGATTGTATTTAAAAGGAATGCAGTGCATTGGGTGATTCTCAGGTCAAAACATCCGAAAACAGTTTCTTTTAAAGAGACAGGGCCTTTAAAAAGGTATCTGGGACTTGAGAAGCGTAACAGCCAGAGGTGATGTCGTGAGAACGTTCTTTAACACGCAGTAGGGGTTATTAGGTATTTTAATTGACAGTTACCTGAACAGATTATGTATGAACTCAAGGGTTCACTCTATTGTTATAAATCTACTTTGTCTTTGTTGATGAGTACAAACCAAAATACTTGTGTCAAATAGCAAATTGTTAACCCTCCATCTGTTACTTATAAATCAGAAACCATTGGAAAAAATACGCAAAACACTTCTCGGCTCGGCTACTAATCGTAAAAGTGTGCGAATGATGAGTGTCTCGCTTGAAAGGAAACATTAAAAAACTGTTGATAAAAAAATTGTAGACCTCATTCACAACATTAAACATACAATAATATTCATAAGTGGGTCTTCCATTGGAAAAAATACGCAAAACATTTCTCGGCTCG